CCATTTCTTGATCTGTTTGTATGTTTGTTTGTTTGAGAGTCTCAGTATGCAGTGCAGGCTGGACTTGAACTCACCGTGTACCCCAGGCTAGCCTGGAACTAAGGGCAATCCTCCTGCCTCAGCCTCCTGAGTGCTGGGATTATTAGTATGTGCCATCACACCTTTGGCAGGGGTGGTACCTGTTTGCAGTTTATGATGTTTGCATTCCTTGTGTGGAGTTGGCATATGTATATAACACATTTCAGTTCCTTTTCTGTCCCTTTACTGCCCTTTCCTCCATCTTCCCTCCATCTCTTGATCTCCTCCATATTTGAGAAAGATCTCTATACTTCTTATTTTTTATTTTTCTCTTTATTTATACTTTGGATTTCTTATATAAGAGAAACCATGTAGGGGGCCGGGGATTTAGCTCAGTGGTCCTGGCGCCAGCCTTGCAAGTGCAATCCAAGTTCGATCCCCGGTACCAAAAAAAAAAAGAGAGAAACGATGTAATATTTAAGCTTGTGTGTCTGATTTATCCGGTTAACATTATGAAGACAGGGCCGGGGATTTAGCTCAGTGGTTCCGGTGCCTGCCTCGCAAGTGCAAGGTCCCAAGTTCTATCCCCAGTACCAAAAACCAAAAATATTATGAACACAGACATCTTTAAAATGCATTTTTGAAGAAAATGTATGTCTAGAAGCTCTCCCTTTCCTTTCATTCTCAGGACAAAGCTTGAGTTGTTTATCGAAATACACATGGAGCATCTGTGAAGTTTAAATTATTTTTATCACTTCATATAATTATTCAGTTATTCTTCATACCTTCATTGGGTAACTCTAGTGTGTCAGTACATATGATGGGTACCCAAGATACATGAAAAATAATGACTTCAATGGGGTAGAAAAGCTGTCTCTTGTTTTGTGAGGTGGATGACAAGTTCAAACCATTCTGGGCAATTTAATAAGGCCTTGTCTCAAAACAAAACAAAAAGGGATGGGGGTGTAGCTTAGTGGCGGTGTGCTTGTCTAGCATGAGAGAGAGAGAGAGAGAGAGAATGTGAGAGTATTGGTTATTGGTGTCTATGAAGGCTAAACTTATCTTTTTTTATTTTTTTGATACCAGGGATCAAACTCGGGTCCTTGAGCTTGCGAGGCAGGTGGCGGAACCATTGAGCTAAATCCCCGGCCCGTAAACTTATCATTTCTTATGATTCAGTAATCAGATGTACACACAACAGAAATGTGTGCACATGATCACCAGAAGGTCCCTACTAGAATGTCCATATCAGTTTTATTAGAAATAGCCTCAAACTGAAAACTTAATAGAACACAGTGTCCAGTGGAATAGAAAAACAAATTATGATAAATTCATACAGTGGAATGTTACATAGCAAAATAGCATAACTTACAGATATACATCAACATGAGTGAAGTCACAAACATAACATTGGCCTAAAGAGCCAGATATAAAAGAATTGGTGTCCTGTGATTTCATCTATGACAGGTTACAGTAATAGGCCAAGAAAATCAAGTCAGGAGAGCAGTTTTCTTGGTGTGAGGGAATCATAGGAGAAGGGGGAGGCTTCTGGGATGCTGGTGACTTTCTTTTTCATGATCTGGGTACTGGATTCTCAGGCATATTCAATTTGTGAAAATTAATCACATGCACTTGATGATTAGTCTGCTGCACTGGTGGTGAACCTATGGCACGTGTGCTGCAGTAGGTGTGCAGAGCCCTCTCTGTCAGCATGCAAGCCAAGTATATGAGTTGTGTTTTCTAAACTAAAACTTCAGTATTTAGGTTTAACTGTAGTGGCACTTTGTGGTAAATAAGTGGGTTTTGGGTTGCAGTTTGGGCACTCGTCTTTAAAAGCTTCACCATCACTGGTCTGCATGAATGTTATATCTAATAAAAAGTTTTTTAAATGGATCAGAAAATTTCTAAAAATATAGATAAATACAAAGTGATTGTAGTGGGTCTACATTTTATTATCAATTTTCTGTAGTCTTACTTGATTTTGTTTTTCTCTAAAAAACTTACTACTTTTACTTGATTTTAAGACCATTTCCTTCCCTTTATTCATATAAAATGAATGAGAGTATCTTTGCCTTTCCAGCCTCCTCCTGTGTCACATCCCAAGCTGTTAGGAAAGACTATGACAGTGTAACACTTTTCTTGAGTTCCATGCAATGGCATTTTCTTAGTAAGATTGAGACCTAGTAGAAAGGCCGGAAAGACTTGACAGCAAGGCTGAACTGAGGATGAGTTGAAGAGATCTATGTATCTGCTGAGTAGGGCAGATTGGATTGGTGCTGTAAATGTAGGAGAGCTGGCATCTCACCAGAGACCTGTCTGAGGTGATGACACAATGCAAGCACAGCAGCCCCTCCCATGGCCGTCTTTACTAGAGCCACTCCTGCAGACCGATTAATGGTCCTTACTTAAATCTAACAGACTTTTTTTCTCACATACCCTTTAAAAGAACTTTGAAAAAGCCATGTGTCGCTCATGTACTTTTAATTGATAGCCAAAGATTTTCAATGTAAGCTTCAGGTTATTTTTGTAAAAAGGAGATAGAAAATATTGGATATTTTATAAAATGAAAATGAGGATTGGGTGTAAATAGAAGTGGTATCTCATGATATGATTTGATAATAGTTAAGGACCTTGTGAATAAAAGCACACTAACTCTAAAAGAAATGAATAAAAGTTTAAGCCAACTTTATATTGAACAATTTTTGTAGTTCTCCAGAATATTCCAATTCTAGTTAAAAGAATCAACTCCCTATTCTACAGCTCCTTCCGATGTCCTAAATTCAGATCACCTCAATTCAAGCCCCGTATCCTATTTCTAATGGCAGATATTACCTATATGAGAATCTATATGACAGAGGAAAGGAAATGCTAGGTATTTGATCATTGACATATAAATTTTATTTGGCTTCTTGAAGTCTTTTATACTTTAGAGCATGTGCCATAGTAGATTTGGGATGGCAATATGCACAAATCAGTGTTCATCGCATATACATAAATTTTAGAAAAGATCCTATGTGAAAGTTGAGAAACTGGAATTTTTTTCCCCTTATCTGTGGATGTTTATTTCTTAGAAAATCATTCCTTGATATTGAGGATTGCTGTGATAGATATTTGAACAAGTAGCCAAAATAAACAGATGTGCTGGTTTTATGTGTAAATAGTCAAGGAAGCCCTATGGTAAAAGGTTATATTCAACTATGGCTTTCCAGGTTTTGGTTAGAAAGATAAACATCTGTATTGTTTATATAAATAATTTCAACTATAAAAATAGCATAATTGAAAGTTAAGACTATTGAAGCATAAAATACGCTTTCATATATTTGAGTTTTGGAAATCTGATCGTTCAAAAATGTCCCTGTATGTATATCTAACTAACAAATTTTAGTTCATTTCATTTAATAAGATTTTGGCAATTCTACCTTAGAATTGTCATTTTTAAAATAACATGGTGATTCATGTATATATATAGTAATATAAAAAGTGTGTTTTGGAAACAAAATTCAGTTTATTAGAAGCTTTTTATTATTGGATATGATAATTACAAAGGCTATTGAGCAAACTTACAAATTTAACATTTTCCTAGGTGATTAGGATAAATAAAATGTATATTTCAGAAGCAGAAATTGAGTTTTTTAAATGTTGTCCTAGATTAATCTCTGTATTTGCCTCAATAATTAGTAGGTGTCTAGATTTCTATTGTGTAATTCCATCTTTAGGGTTTCTCTTTTGAGTTTCACCCAAACCATGCCTGACATAGTAGTCATAATTTTTTGACAGTGTTTTTAAGAATAATGTTAAGATGTCAAATTTGAATTAAATGTTACTGAAATGAAATCATTAAAGTGATATAATTGAACTTAACCTTTACCCAAAAAGTAACTAAAATAGAGTAGGATTTCCTATACAGGACATAAGGTATTTTGTTTCTTAAAGTGTAAAAGTATAATCTCTCATATCTCATCATTAGTATAAGGGTGCTGGTTAAAATGCAGATTCCTAAGCCTGTCATCTGGTAATCTGCATTTGGGCCAGCATCCTGAATGATTTCCAGGAATAGTAAAGTATGAGGACTACTACTCTCTCTCTCTCTCTTTTTTTTTTTTCGGTACCAAGGATCAAACTCCTTGTGCTGTGAGACAGATGGCGGCACCACTGAGCTAAATCCCCAGCCCAGGACTACTACTCTTGAGCCATATTACTTCTTTATGGAAGATCTATAACAGAAAGAAGCATCTCAGATTCTTAAGACAGAGTGTAATAATAATAAATTAATAAAATAGTGTTCTGGGAAAAGACATAATTCACATTGCATTGTCCTCTTGTTATTGCCATCAAATTTTATATTTCTTTTCCTCCAAAATACCAAATATTTTTATCACTTATTAAAAATTGCCCTGCATTGATGTTCAGAATACTTGTATAATGTGTTTACCTGAATTGCTGTAGAAGAGCAGGCATTAAATCAACTGCCATAGAAGATCCATTTAGTTATTTTTTTCAATGTAGATTTCTAGTGATGTGTTAACAAATACCAATACTGTATTTTAGTTTAATTCAATAAAAAGGAACCAATCCAACTCTGGTTTCACAAGTGAAGTGATTCAGAATGAGTTTGTCAGCTCTCAGGGGCCCTCTCGCTGCATAGGATAAATAACATATATCTCTCCCACGTGTTTCCTAAAATGAAGGCTACCTCTAATCTCGCTCCTAGCACAAACCTTCACACACTGAACTATGTGCCAATGACACAAGAAGCTCACTTTGCTGGTCATGGGCCATAGTCTTGTCTAGTACATTTATGCAACTGAAGTTGGCTTTAATAATGTGACAGGTCTATAATACTATAATAATCAGTGATCTCTGTAAAATTGATTCCTTCTTCTCCTTTTCATTATAAAAGGAAACTTTATTTCAGAGTAGAAAGTGCATTGTCTGAACTCATCAACACCCTCTCTATCCCTCTCCTCCCCAATTTGTTGCAGACCAGGATGAAAGAGCAGCTGAGCTCAGCAGGGAGCAGAACGAGAAAACCATCCGGAGCACGCAGACTGCGCTCCGAAATTTCCGCGAGTTCCTCATCTCCAAGTACCCTTCTGAAACAAGAGAAATTTATGTCATCCCTTGCAAGGAGTTGGATGCCTACCTTGCCTCTTTCTTTGTTGATGCCAGGCAGAAGGATGGGTCTGAGTACGAACCCAACAGCTTGGCAAATTACCAGTGTGGGCTTGAACGATACCTGAAAGAGCACAGGTATGGCTACAGCATCACCAGGGACAAGGAATTCAAGCGTTCACAGGAGGCCCTGAAACAGAAGCAAATTGAACTTCGATGCAAAGGAAAAGGAAATAAGCCACACAAGTCCATGAAGCTCACCTTTGCCGATGAGCTCATCCTGCGGAAAAGGGGACTGCTAAGCCGATACAATCCTGAAGGTCTGCTCAACCTTGTCTGGCTCAACAACACAAAAGCTTTTGGGCACTGCACAGGCTTCCATGGATCTACCTTGAAATGGGGTGACATCCGACTCCGGGTAACAGAAACGGGGCTGGAGTACTTGGAGTGGATGGGTCAAGACACTGGTGATCTGAATGCCAAAACCAAGAGAGGGGGGACGGACTCCCGTGTATATGCCACCCAGCATGCCCCACAGACCTGTCCTGTACAGGACTATAAGGAGTATGCCCAGCGGCGGCCCCCTGCCATGCGCTATGAGGATGCCCCTTTCTACTTGTCCATCAAACCAGTTGTAAACTTGGCGGCTCTGCATTGGTACAACTGCCAGGCTCTTGGCAAGAACAAGCTGGCCAAGATGGTGAAGACCATGTGTGAGAAGGGCAACATCCCTGGCAGGAAAACCAACTTCAGTGTGTATCAGAGCTGCAGCACCTTGTCCGAGGCCCAGAGCAACCAGCTGGTGCTTATCTGTAACAACCTGAGCCAGCAGGCCGCCCAATCAGTGGCCGGGCACTCCAACAGCGGCAATTTCATTGTCTCTGCCTCCTATGACTCTTCCTCAGACACTGCTTGACCAGGTGGCTTGAGCAAGACCCCAGTTTGGTTACTGTGTCCCTAGAAACTGTGATTATACACTGCTTCTCATTCACTCTCTGCCCTCAGTGTTAACTTTATAAAAATATATATAATATATTTTTCTTTTTGCAAATAAGCCAATGGAGATAGTTTAGTATTACTAACATAGTATTTATAGGGTTAAGACAAATGTCCTCGTGGGTGATTACATGTAATTACTGTTACAGACTTTACAAAACCATAGTGGTTCTCAGGCAACAGAGTAGAGAAAGAATTCCGTTTTTAAAATATCAAAAAGGAAACTGAGTCATTGTAGACACTGTGTCCTCAACTCCTGCTTTTCCTTCCTACCCTGCTTCTTACTTTTTGTCTCCTTCATAAGTGGCTTTCTTTTTAATTTTTAAAATCTATATTAAGAGGGCCAGGGATTTAGCTCAGTGGTTCCGGCGCCTTCCTCGAAAGCACAAGGTCTCGAGTTCAATCCCCAGTACCAAAAAGAAAAAACAAAATTGATAAGAGCAGACAGTACTAACTTCACTGCTCACACAAAAGTAGTATTTAGCCAGATCAGAATATGAAAGTATGGTATAGGCTCAAAGTATTTACATTCTTTTTTTAATTAGTTCCTGTGCCTCATGTTTCGCAGTATGAATATGCAGATATTTAGCTGACATTTTCTCTTTCGGGGGAAGAAAATAGAGGGAGAAATAAAGGTGCCATTCTTTTTGGAAGATTTGTAATTTTAAAATAATATGCGAAGTCTAATATTGTGGCAAAAAGACTGTTACATAGCTCATTTTTACTGGTGTGCTTGGACACAGAATATTTTTTAGCCCTAAAAATTGGTGTAAATGAAATTTTTATTATCAGTCACAAAATGTTCTAAGACTACCAAAACTTTAAAAATATTCCGAAGCTTTAGATTGTTTATTAAGCATAAAGAAAAGGTAGAGAACGAAAAGGTCTTACTAAAAATCTAGAAGCAGTAGTTTAAGACAACAAAAAAGCATTCTCTTCAAAGCTCAGATCTTGTGAATTATTTATTTATAAGCTTTAAACTTCAGTCTCTTTTTCCCTAGGGAGGTTACTTGACTCTGCAGTTAAGATCAAAGGAGTATTGACACTAATTTTAAGTAATATATTTTGGTAACAGTTTTAGCTGAATTCAAAGCATTCTTGAAAATATGCAGGTTTCTTCTACAGGAAATAAAAACACTTATCTGAAGTATTCTATAATTGTAGTGATAATTTTAAAATTGGTTAAACATTTGTGGCAGTTTTTCCAAGGTCTTTGTTTTCAAGTCTTAAAGGCTGTGATGAATTACTTTACTAGTTAAGACACTTCCAAAATAAAATAAATTTAGACATTAGACCTATGGCAAAGCTGAGCTAGGATCTATCCTGTATGATCATTAATATACATAAACTCCAAATCTTAATTGGTTTTCTGGATCTGGGCATTCTGTTGGGAGGTATTTTTCTTTAAAGCAAACTCATAATTCACATTATCTAGGAAGGTGGATGGTATTTTATATGTTAATTTATTGCAGGACTAGGAAAAATTTAATTCTGAGTTGCTTTGTCATGCAGCTGAGCTGTCCCATGGCAAGGCATTTCTTTCCACCACTAAGTCCTAAGTACATAAAGACATTCCTCTGTGTGTTCTTGCATTTGCACAGGAGCAGGAAGTCTGCCATTGACTTTATGTGGCGGAATTAACTTCATTTTTGTGACTTTTCTTCCATAGAGAAGCATCCATTTGTGCATCCAGAAACAAGAAGAAAGGGCAGAGCATAAATTTCTATATATATTAATCCTTTTAATAGCTTTGAAAAGAAAATAAATTATCTCCATTTTACAGTAAGATCTTGATAAATCAGATTAGATCATAGCCAAGGAAATAGTAGTCTGCCATCTTCAGAGCTTTTTTTCTTCCCCCTTTTCAGTACTACCCTATAATTAGTTTCCAGTGATTTGAGCCAGAGATGGGGGCAGTGTCTTTCCATCTCTGCAGGTTGATTAAAAGTAATGCTGAGTGATCTTTCATGGCAGCACACTGTGTTCTCTACTCTCCCCTTCCCCCATTTTATTCATTTGAAACTAGAGCCTCTTTTTCCAAGTTCTGTTTATAAAATCTTGCTTTTTGGGAACTGGTCCATCAGTGCACAGTACAGTCTACTTTTTTTTTTTTTGGTACCAGGGCTCGAACTCGGGTCCTTGTGCTTGCTCAGCAGGCGGCGAAACCACTGAGCTAAATCCCTGGGCCAGTACAGTCTATTTTAATGGAACTCTTCCTTAGATATTCTTATGTGAGATATCTCTCATTTTTAAAAGTTTTTATGAATTACTCAAAATGTGATTGTGCATTTTATTTTTAAATGACATCATTTCTAAATTTTTGCTGTTTTTGACAGCAAAGTAAGTTTGTCTTGGGGGGGAAAGATTGAGTTACCAAAATGAAAATCTGTCTTGCCTAATCATACTACATTTTCATTTGGACTAACATAATTAACTTGAGAATGTGACTTGTTTTTATTTGTTTATATTTTGCTGTGATTTTGCTGATAGAAACACTGACATTTAGATTCAGAAAAGCAGTTTTTCTGAAGAATAATTTGGTAGTTAGTAGAACATAGCCAACTTATAATAAATACAGTATCTCTTTGAATATTAAGTTATGAAAAACTTGCAACTAACACTAAATTTTGTATTTTTATCTAAACATTACTGAGGCTATAATTGCCAGAGGCTATTTTTATTATTTGGAACTTTAACTTACCAAAAAAAATCATTTCCCACTGTAACAGGCGTAGCTGCCAAAATCAGATATTTGTTTTAGGGAAAGTTCAGCATTCTCCAGGTGTTCACTACAACACAATGTGCTCCCTTTTCAGGCAACACATAAACAAAACCATATTTGCAGAGTTTACACATTAAGAACAATGTAATGCCATGTAAGAAATTCTCCAGTGTTCCTCACAGAACTCTGGAAATTTTGCATTTTCTACAACAAAAACACTGAGCCCATCTGTCAGCATTCGGGTGACGTAGCTGTGTAATTCAGTCTTTCTTCCATACTCAATAAGAGACTGGCTCTTGCAAACCATAAATTTTAGCAATTTTCTTTTAAAAAATATGATATTTGAAAAAAAAGTATTCAGGATATTTATCCAAGATGACTTATTCTTAAGATTCTATTAAAATCATTGTATTCTGAATATGGTTCATAAATATAAATTATTACTTATTTTAAATTTTTTTTCACCACTAGAAATTGAACCCATGGGCTTACATATGCTAGACAAATGCTCTACCACTGAGCTATATCCCCAGGCCTTGAAATATTTATTTTATAATTATTTTCCCCATGTTAAATTTTTTCCAGTGTTAATAATTGCTTGATGTTCAAAAGAATAGTCCAAAATTTTTCTGGGATAGATCAGGTCCCTGGTTTTTCAGATCATTATTAGCTGAAACTTTCATGGTACTAACTGGTCAGAGTTATGATTTAGTTTCCGGATGCCATGAAATCAGTGACTTTATTGAGATGAAAATTGATAGTCACATAAGCACATAATTATTAGTCAGCTAGGATCTAGACACTGGGAAGAATATAAAGATGTGTCCAATAGTTCCTACTCTCAAAAAAATTCATGAACGATTGTAAATGTTTCATTTTTGAGAGCTAAGCAGAATCTCTAAGCCAAAACTATTTCACAGTCTCCCAAACTTTGTACTCCTGAAATTTGTCCATTATTATTTATTCAGTGAATATGTTGATTTGCTGCAGAATACCTAATACTGCTTTGAATATTTTGCGAAGACTCTCCCTTAGAGCCCATTTTAAAATCCATGAGAAGGTGAACCCATTTCTATTATCATCTGTTGTGTTCACATAGGTGCACACAGGCATAGGAATGTACAGATTTGTCATCAACTATTATTAAGTACACTATACCCTTCTACTAAGTGCTTTTATAAATTGTTTCTCTTAATTTTCACAGTAGTTGCTTTAAGTAAAGATCATTATTTCTCTTTTGTAAATGAGGAAGTCAGAGTGGCCAAATGGGTTGCCCATGTCACAATTAATGCTTAAGAACATCACTCTCTGAAACTAGATCCTGATCCTGCTAAGCCCTGATCTTTTCTGTGGTATCTACTTGTTTGAGGAGTGGTTTGCTTGTGCTTCTATGGTAGGCCTTCTGAAGTGATCAATTGTAATGAAATCCCTGGTGTAATAAAATCATCGCTATTCATTTAACTTTGAATTGATAGAGATCACTACTATGAGCTAGCATGTTTGTGAGCACCATAATATTTAGGCCCTGTTACTGTATTTACTTTAAAATGAGACATTCAGCAGAGTTTATTTCTTCTGGCCACTAACAGCAGAAGTTTGTGTCACTCTTCAAAGAACACATAACTTTGCCATAGAGGTGTTTTTGTATGTGCACAAAAAATGATAAATGTGATTGACCTTTGTTTTACTCCAAGTAAAGCCAAAACCCATTTATAGGAGAGTTCCTTATAATTCAGACAGGGAAGGGGATGTTCTAGGCAGAAGGAATGCCTCTCTCAAGCCCATAAACCGATATTATCATCGACCAGGTACTAAGTATTGGTTTTAAGTCTGCCAGGGAGTTTGGTCTCACCTGCAAATTTGGAACCAGCAAATTAACAGTACTTAATAGAGCATTTTGTTATTATTGTTTTTGTTTTCCTCATGAAATATGATTGCTGTTGTGGAAAACTGGGGAAAAAATACCATCTTTATGATTCTCATAGAAATAGACTGTGAAAACATTCAGATTTTTTCTAGTTTGATTATATCCACCATTTAATATTAAAGAAACATTTCTGATTTTAATCACTTCTGTTTATCTAAAGGAAAGGTGTATTTTGATCTTTATTTCTCTAGTCAAAATAAGGTTGTAATACTTAGCACAAATTTTTAAAACTATAATAAAGGAAATAAGTTTCTAAGCCTAGAGAAAAAAACAAGGGGAGTGTATGATAATTTATTGCAGTATGATATTTTTAAAAGGTGCATCGGGGGCCAGGGATTTAGCTCAGTGGTTCTGGCACCTGCCTCGCAAGCTCAAGGTCCTGAGTTCAATCCCCGGTAGCAAAAAAAAAAGATGCATTAATGTTCGACCCTGGTACAAAAAAAAAAAGATGCATTCATTAAAAAGTTATAGGGGGGAAAAAGTTATAGGGGAGGGGTATGTACCTCATTGGTAGAGTATGTGAGGCCCTAGATTCAATACCTAAAACCAGAAAAAAAATAGTTATAAATATTAGCAAATTTTCTATCAATCAGTTTAATAAATTTTTCCCAAATAGAATTTGTTTATCCAAGATATATCTCTGCACATCCATGGTATGATATGATGCAGATAGAGCATTGGCAAGGACATCCCGAAATTTTTTTGCCCTTAATGTATAATATTCAAGCATTGCTATTCCTCCCCTCTCAGATCTGACTGAAATGATGTGAGTGCATAGTTTTACATAAGGCAAAGTGATGGAGCTAGGAAAATAAAATTTTCCTTATCATCAAATGGAACTGGGATTAAAAAAAAATAACTGCAGATACCCTATTAATGGATTGGTGTATATCTAGTTACATAACAACAGGAAAAAAGGAAATTGACAAACTACCAACAATTCTCAGTTCATTTTCTCAAAATTTCTCATGGCCCAGCTTTTGTAAGTTATCAAAGTTAACTGAAGACCTGATTTGGTATTGAAGATTGTATTTCTTTAAAAGATAGCATTTTAATACATTAAATTGAGTTTTATGTAATTTGTGACTGTTAAATTAGAATCAGAGAGTATTAGAGCCCTAATATGAGCAGAATGTTAATTATGCCACAGTATTAATGTAAATCATTGCCTTATTGAATTATAATCATAGAGGGTAGCCCTGGGAAAGACTCAACAAGTCATCTAATCCAGTGATTTCCAATGCTGAGTATAGAGTACTGTGCCCTCCTGGGGGTAGGAGGGCAAAGAGATGGAGACAGTAAAGAGAACATACCTTCAAATACATTCCCCCATGACTCTCATGTTCCCTAGTGTCCTGCCTTCCTTTGAGACTAACTAAACTGAGTTGCTGTTACCTCTGTTAGGTATATCATTCAGGTGTGCTGGCTGGAAAATAAGATTGGAAACATCTAATCCACTCTTTTTTTGTAGATGAGAAAACATCCCCAAAGAGATGAGATCTTCTTACCTTGTTAGGTTGGAGCCAGGATGAGAACCCAGGCACTTTCTGATTTTCTGTCCACATGTAAATGAATAAGAGTTTAGGAAGAAAAAACAACCCTACATGGAAGTTAACCATGAGTTAGAAAAGAGTATCTTTTCCTTATTTTCCAACTGTTAATTTTTTTAAACCATCATTTTTATTAGTAGATTCAAGTTAGCAGTTTCCAAACAGGCTATTTTTTAATGTGAAATTTCATTTTTCACTGTGTAGTGTTATATCTTGATTTTAATAGCTTGTCGTTGTGATCTGAAATTTGTTAGGGTAATCTCTAAACATAATTGTTTTCTTTGACTCTGACAAATATCTCTCAGCCTACCTCATTTATATTTTGTCTTCAATTATGAAAGAAAAACAAAATATCCACAGTCTTCAAGTATTTGAATTCAAATGATAGATCGTGTACTAAAAACTAACTTTTGTTTAATTTGGTATTTATTGGACATCCAGGTATATAACAACTCTATTACTGGTTTTGGATTCAGGCCATAATATCTTCTTTTAGTCTACGGAAGATTTTTTAAAAATCGTATTTGAAGGTTTTGAACATATCCTCAGTCAAGAAGATCAAATTTCTAATTAAGATGAGTCTGAAGTGAATTTATTTAGAGATACTGAAGGGAAAATGGTAGCCAATTAAAGAGGCCTACAGCAGGAAGATGTAGAAATACAAAATATATTTCTCACATCCTGCTTTTTCTTCTGAAAAGGAATTCAAACATAAATATGAGAAATTCCACAAAATTTTAATTTATAAATTATACTTAGGTCGTAAGTGAAAATAAGGTCAAATTCTAGGATGTTAAAAAGGGACAATGTAATTATTTGTCTTTTATGGAATGCTGAATTTTGCTAGTCTAATGTGTGTTTTGGTATTACACTGGAATTAAAGAATATTTTTACCATTATGCATTTATTTCAATAAGAGCTTTGAAAATGCATTGACATAATTTATTTGTTTGTGATATATAGAATTAAAAAGGCATCAGCAATATAGAATACTAACAGTAATTGTGCATACAATATTTTAGTGATTTTATGCTTGTTTATTTTTTGTAATTCTTACATTTTATAAATCAAGTATCAGTATACTTCCACTAGAAATTAATTTATAATTGATTATACTAGACGAAGTAGCAGGTCCACATTTAGGGTTAATCCACTTGGATTAACTTTAACTGAACTTTTATACTAATAATTCATTATATTACAACTTTTTAAATAGCATTTATAATGAAGAACTTTTGTTTTATAAAGTATTTGTTACAAAAAAAGAAAAATCTTGCCAAAAACCATTACAATTTCTATGCATTGTGTAATAGTCAGTGATGTCATTGTTGAGATTTTGCATGTTGTTATAGGTGCTCTTTCATATGTGTTTGTGTTTATGTGGAATTGTTAACCATTGCTGCTATCATTTACTGTAGTTCAAGTGACAAACTGTGCTAAAAGGCTGTGCCAGGGCGGGGGATTTAGCTCAGTGGTTCCACCGCCTGCCCCGCAAGCGCAAGGACCCAAGTTCGATCTCTGGTACCAAAAAAACCAAAAAACAAAAACAACAAAAAATAATAATATCTATAGGGCCAGGGATTTAGCTCAGTGGTGCCGCCGCCTGCCTCGCAAGCACAGGGTCCCAAGTTCGATCCCCAGTACCAAAAAAATGTAAATAAAAGGCTGTGCCAGTCAACATTAGTATGTGTGGCTTGAGAAAGTATGTACTTAGTTGGTTAATATTTTGAGCCAGCACTTAATGTCCTCTACAGAAGGAAATATTACAGTTGTTAAATGGTGCCAATCTTGAAATCTTTGTTTCATTATATATCATTCCAGGGTAGGTCAGCTTTTCTTCCAGACTTTTCCAACTCTGAAAGTGAACCATTTACAAAACGGGAAAGCAAACAAGAATTCTAAACTTTTCCAAGTACTTCTTCCCCTAGAATTTTAAATCTATTTTCTTCTTCGACACTTGAGGACCTTACAGAAAAAATAGTGACAAATAGAACAGCATAATTTTCCTTGATGTATATATTTTTAGGCCGACTGGTATAACAATAAAGACTTCTAGGTGCATACGTTATCTTAGTTTGTTATCATGTCTTGTTTGAATTGCATTAAATAAGAATTTTATTTTATTTATAAGGGACCATTGAAACCTTACAGTTTCCAAATGTTAACTTTGACATTCAATATTTGCATAGATTTATTTAACATACTTGGTTGCCTTATGACCTCCCAGATTTTTTCAAGCTCACCTGCTTATTTCAGCTCCTGTTATTTCCCATGTGTGTCAGCAGTTCCAGACAAATTCTGAAAGTAGAGAGAAAATTGTCCTAACAGATTAACTCTACTATACTTTGTTAAATTTTAACATGGGGAAAATAGCATTACATTTGTACACTTTTGAAATGGAGGGAAAATTGTCATAAAATATTAAGAAAAGAAGACTGCTTCCTCAAGACCAACATGCCAAAACACCTCACTTTAGTACAAGATTTCCTTCTGTTGGTTCAATGAGTTTATAATGACAAGATTCCTTTAATGAAGGGATTATAGAAGCTTTTTGTGTGACTGTCAGATACATAGCCACAGCTGATGCTGTATTGGAACACATTGCTGCTGAAATTACCGATTTAATTCTAAGAATATTAAAACTAATTCATCAAGGTCCCCTGCCACTTCTTTGCTTAGAGGAAAAGACAGGCAAATTTTAACTGTGAGCCTTTTCTTCACAATATGCTTTAAACATTCACCCTTCAATGAGGTGATAAAGCAATAAAAGAAATTCAATTAAGTATGGTCTGAAGAAGCTCTGCCTTTGTCCCTTGGTCTCCAGAGTCTTACAGAAGTATTTTTTTGATTCCTACATTGGGAATTTCCAGGCAAAGCCTTTGTACCAAGAATTGCTTTTTAATTTTGGACACCAAAGATTATGGCATGATAAATCCTGATGATTAATTATTTCTATTAGATAGCATTGGGCACATGTGTTTGAATCCTGTTCTTGTATTTATTTCTCACCTTTAGGTCTTCTATGCCTGTCCTGATGCCTCTATGCCTAAGATAATTTTTTAATCAAATAATACATATATGTTTGTTAGGTTTCTGATTTGAAGTTTCCATTTTTCCCCATGACTTTAAATGTCTTCACTGCTAAATTTACACATAGATTTGCCAGATTAGCCCCCTGATGAGTAATAGTTTGTACCTTTTAAGTGAAACTGTAATTATAACCCCATAGACCTGAAACCTGGTGAGGGAGTAACTGGATGCATTTTGGATTCAGTAGAATCAACATGTGTGACTCTTAGCTGTTAAAATGAAGAATGTTCATGGCTTAGAAGAATCAGTTCTGTGCTCAACTTCAATGAGGGCTTCCATCTTATAAAAGTATGTTTAAGGTTTATTTTATCACTTAGAAGTTGGAAAGAAAAAGTTAGATTTATCAGTTTAGGCACTAAAATTTAAGGCCAGGCATCTGTTTAAAATATAATAATTACAATTAGTGCTTAGAAAAATTTTATGAAACAATATAGTACAGTACTGTTCTTTGAGGTTGCATTTACTTCTACCCAATTCAATAAATTGTCATTTCTCACTACTTGGCTTTTTTTTGGGGGGGGGGATCGAACTCGGGTCCTTGAGCTTGCGCAGCAGGGGGCAAAACCACTGAGCTAAATCCCCGGCCACTACTTGGCTTTTAAGTGATTTATATGAAAAAAGCACTTGTGTGTCAGTTTCACTCATCATATCATAAAACTTCTTTAAGCTGCTACCATTATTTGTGAAAGGAAGAAGAAAAAGGTGATTTGTAATGGGGGGAAGTTATGTTAATATGTTAAGATATTTGACTGTGATGCTCTTGGTCAATAATCCTCTGCCAGTTGGTATTTGTAATATAGAACTTTTTCATTAATAAGAATATATACTATTGACTTCAATTTTATTTTGCTGCACACTGATCTTTTACACTAAGATGTTTTCATGTTTATCAGCTCACTGTTTTTGCTTCATATTTGTCTGTGTATTTGTGCTCTAAATAAACTTACAGTTTTGTGTCCCAGGAGGCTCCTCCATTGTGTGTATAACGTTTACCTCTAATGTAATGTATTTTTCTATTATTTTCAGTTTTGTTGGTAAGCCTACAATTTATGAAAATAAGAAAAGCAATCCAATAAAGTCAGCTAATGAGTGTCAATAATGTCTCTATAATAAGAGCATGCTTTAGTCATAGTATTTTCTCTGTATTTGAGTATAATGACCAGTCCTCATTTAATAAATTGTTTTCTGCAAAGCTGGCTGATTTTTATAGCTACCACAAACAATTTAAAAACCAGTAAACCACATTTTGAAAAAACAAAAATTGCTAACCTGGACTCTGCAGTGGCCCCAGGATATAGGCAGTTCATTCTCAGCCAAGCATTTCACAGTGTCTTTTCTAACCACCTAGGAGGATACAGTCCTGGAAGGGAAAGTGTTTCCCAAGTGATTGCTCAAACATAGCCCATAGTGTAATAAAACTCTTCAGTAAGGGATCTGTAGCTGACTTAATCACAGCTTCCTATAGCCCCAAGCCTGAAAATCCTGTTTATGGAGCAGAAAGCCCCACTGCAAACAAGGAACTCAGCACCATCTATCTGTAGAGTTCTATTGGTCATTTTTCTTCACCTCCAGTAATCCTTTGTCAATTGCTTTTTAATTAGGTATAAAATTATGCCAAACTAAGTAGACGTCAAGTCCTAGACTTCCTTATTATTAGGAAAATCTGTTTAGTCAGATGTAAATCTCCATATGTTGTTACACTTAGCACGTTTACCAATGTCCTTTGAACAGAATAGGAATGGTTGCCTAAATAATTACGTTGATTGATTTTAGAAATCTCTGTTGTGTCCCTAAACTTCTACAGTGCTGTCTTTCATAGTTATTTTGCAAAAGTACAAATACATTTTTCATGTCTGAAAATCTTTCCTTACAGCTAAACATTCCAAATAGAAATGACCAGTTTTGTAGAATAGTACTTTAGATTATAAGATACCTCATATATAGATACTTAATGCTTCAGTATCTCAAAAGATGGTTTTAAAAGGAAACATTGAATTTGATGGCAAACATTTTCACAGAGTGAACTAAAAAAGTAAAACTAGCGTTTGCTTTCTTAAGATTTATAATGTTTTAAAAATGCTAAGGCAATAGCCAGTTGTGGTACTATGTATATGCCTGACTACTCAGGCTGAGACCAGCCTAGGCAACTTAGTAAGACCCTGTCTCCCCTCTCCCCGACAAAAACAGCTAAGCCTAAATAAATATTTGTCGTGAATAATTCGGCAAATAAAATAGAAACTAAAAACCAGAGGATTCTTCATTATCCATAGATAAAAACTTAGAGTTAGCCATGGTGGTGCATGCCTGCAGTCCCAGCACTCAGGAGGCTGAAGTAGGAGGATCGCTGCAAGTTTGAGTCCGGCCAGGGCCACATAGGGAGTTCAAGGCCAGCCTGAACTACATAGCAAGACCCTGTCTGAAACAATAAACAAACAAAAACATTTTAAAATTTCTGGTGTTTTAATTTGGAATTTTTGCATCCATACATATACTTCAAAATTTTTAATTGTATTTGTTTTGTGTGTTTGTGGAACTTTAGTATTTGCAAGTGGATTGTTATTTCTACATTTTTTCCATTGCACAAATATGCCAAGACCTATTTTACAATGCTTTTGTTAGATTGACTTTGTTTCTAGTTTTTCATTTTTATAAATTTACCTATTTCTCTTTTATTAGTGCATATTAGTTATACAGAATAACAAGTTTCATGGTGGCATTTTTATACATGTATATAACATTCTTTGGCTATATATTCCCCTATCCCAGTAATCCCCTTCTCCTTAGGATAAATTTCTAAAAGAAGAATTTTGGGGCCAAATAAAAAACATTTTATCTATATTTCCTGTGTATTTCCAAAGTCCTAATGATTTTTATAATGTGT